TTTATGAAAAAGATACATGAGATAAAATGTCCTTTCTTACTCAACGCCTGGAGTCTGTCTTTACATCCCAAGGCTCGTAGTTTACACAAATTCTGTGCCAGGTTTTGGGCTGTGCTTATGGCCCCTCAAAAATACATACTACTTGCAGTCTTTAATCTGTGGTCTGGTTTTTGTGCCCTTTATTGTTAGGGTGAGAGAACCCTTGGCATCAACCAGAAAACAGTGGGTTTTTTAACAAGATTGTAACTGTTATCCATATGAACTGCCATACATTTTGTTTCTTTACCTGTGACTGCTGGATGCTGCCGTTGTTTGGTTAATGATTTTATTTAATACGATCTGTAGGTTAAAGTACTGTTTTATTAATGCAACTAAACATTTCTTGGTTTAGCTCCTGCTTTTATAACACATTTAAAGATATAAAAATGCACATACACAGATAGATTGCCAAAACTAGATGTTACCCTATGTACTGTGAGTCAAAAAATTAGAAGGGTCAAAGCAGAAGGAAGACTCTGATGTCAAAACAGAAATAAAAATGACTGATAGAAATCAGACTTAAGTTATATGGGAAAATCTCTAGATATCTAAGTATGAGTTTGGATGCAGTAATTTTACTAGTTGTTCTTGCTCCTGTAGACTGATCCATTAATGTCTTGGCTAAGATACTATAGTTGTTGATTAAATAAAATGTATTGCAAAGAAGATGTTTTAATAATAAAAAGGTGTGATTTCTTGAGTTTATAGAGAACATAGATCAAGACTTTTGCTATTTTGAAACCCTCTAGAGGGTAGGAATTGAACAAATTAGAAAATCATTTGGTGTCTAGACAGGAGAATGCCTTAGTGAAATGAAACTGTGGAATGGTCTTGCATGCAAAAAGTGAGAGTACAATATTGAAGGTACTATGTACACATTTTTCTAGTTTTGCGTACAGCTTTGTGAGAATTATGCACTAAAATTAAAATGGTTAAAGCAGCACAAACTGCATCTGGCAAGTAAAATGTATAAACTGGTATTGGATCCTTCATACTCATTTGCTAGGGGCAATAAGTTCATAAATGAAAGTAGTAAAATGCCAAATTTTGGAAATTGTATGCTTATAACCATTTTTTCCTCAGCCCTGATCTCTGTCCAGGCTGACACACTTGAGCTATACCTTTCATGTTGAAAGTATCATGACTGATTGTTGCTGTGCAACTTAGCTATTCCATTATGACTTTGTTTTTTTCAGTGGTCTGCTGACAGTGGAACAGAATAGCATTTAATTCTCTAGTTAGTGCTATCCTGGTCTTTTTTTTTTTCCTTCTTTTGTCCTTTAATAATAGAATTACCTTTACAGCAGGACACTGTACTGTAGGTCACAGTGAGAAACTCTGTGGGGTACCATAGTAATTGAAAGAGATAGTAATTATGTATTCTCTGCAGTAACACATGCTCTCCACAATAATGTCTTCTTTTGATTGAAACATAGCTATCAGTGTGTAAAGGACTTTCATTTACTACTTGAACTGACTTTCAGTAGAAATTTTGAACTCGACAGGCTTAGATGAGAGAATGCTAGAAAACAAACATACTAACTTTAGAAACCTACAGCGACGAAAATGAATTTGAATGTGCTGTTTTCATTATTCAATACAGAAACTGAAGTTGTTGCCTTTCCCTCCCTTTTACTTACAGGATACAAGCTGGCTTTCAATTACCTGAAAGGAAAGAGATACGTTGATGCAATCGATGTTTGTCATAAGGTAGAATTTGTATATGTACTTAAGACTCTGTCTACTGTAGCAACGTTCTTTTATGTGATGATCCTTTTTCTGTTGTTGTTGAGTTTAATTTTCTAAAATATATGACTTAATGTCAGAAAGATACCTTATTTAATAAGTTTGATTAAATTAAATATCTTCTACATAATCTGCTTTATCTGGAGCTCCCTGGCCACCAGGTAAATAAGAGATAATGTTGCTGGCTGTCATATGTGAGAGCATATTCAAATGGCAGCACCTTCTTTTGGCCCTGTGATTGCAATTGGTAAATCCATACAGAAGTACAGCTGAAGAAGGCAATCAAACGTTAATGTTGGAAGACACTGCTAGAAAGAAACTTCCAGTATTATCTTTGTATGGTCCAAATGTAAATAGAGTAGATGTAGAATAAGAGGAACAGCTACTATTACAGAAGCAGAGTGGTCATTATGAATTATTATTAGTATTAATAATGAAATAAATTATATTTGCTCTTTTGTGGAGAAATAAAGATAACTAGAAAGGACAAAATGAATGGAAGGATAAGGGAGAGGAGGGACGTGGGTAGAATATATTAAGGAAGAGTCTGAGGGAGTGAAAACGTAAGAGCAGTTTATCATTGCAGAGAAAGTGTACTTAAAATCTTGGAAATGTCTCCAGAGGTCACTATTTTGAATGCACACATTTCAAGACATCCAGAGGTTTTAGCCCTTGACCCCTGTGTGTTTTGCATCAAGGTGACAGGGCAGTGTGAAAGGGAAGTAAGGTGTCTTTGATAAAGCTGTTTGTGACCTTCATACATGGTAGTCTGTAGCCACAGTTAAATATTAATGCATACTTAAGCAAACTTGTCATGCTGTTACTTTAGTGTTATAATGTGTAAGCTCAATGATGAGGGGGAATAACCTAACACAGTATTCTTTCCTTTTAGACACAGAATTTTTGGGTTGTTTTGTCTTTTGACAGGTCCTTGAAGCACATCCAAACTATCCAAAGATCAGAAAGGAAATACTTGACAAGGCCCGTGCATCACTAAGAACGTGAATATTTTTTTGTGTGGCTCATGGACTTGTTTTAGTCTGACTTCGGAAACTATGACTGAAATACTGCAGTGACAGAGACCATATTGGCATAAAAGTACTGTGAATATGATTAACTTAATTATACTAGAGATCTGGATTATTTTCAAGAAAAATCTGCAGCCCTGAAACAAATTGTATTTATTCTTATTCGGGAGAGAATACTGCTTACATGTGTGCTATGTAAAGTGTCATCCGGCATCAAAAAAAAGTGTCATCAGCATTATAAAAATGTTTCAAAGCATGTAACTCAGTATTTTGTTTTGTCCATTTGAATTAGCACTCAAAACAACAGCCTATCCTGTCTGTTAGTGCATTATTAAAATGCTGGATCTCAGTTCGTGTAAACCATTTAGTCATAATTACACTGTAGTCTTTATTACCACAGGTGTATTTCTAAAGTATGTTTTTTGATTTTTACGTATTCTAAGCATGCTTTATTTTTTTATCTTGAAGAATGAGCTATATACGTTGTGCTCAATTAAACTTTTTTAACATTTTTAATGAAAATCTATGTATTTAAAATTAAGACCATATGTAAATATTCAGTAAAGGCTTCTATAGATCGTGCGAGTCTTACACAGAATTTATTTTATACTCATGCTGTCTATTATCCACCTGTCAGATTTCCATGAAGAGAAATGTTTGATATTTTTAATTTGGAGTGTTTAGTCTTTCAACATTGTATGTGCAGACAGCACAGTTGTATGTGCAGACAGCACAGTTGTATGTGCAGACAGCACAGTTGTATGTGCAGACAGCACAGTTGTATGTGCAGACAGCACAGTTGTATGTGCAGACAGCACAGTTGTATGTGCAGACGTTAGCACTCATTTTGTTTAATCCATATAAAACACCTTTCCAGAGAAATTGTTTTGATTAGAGGGGATTATGATCTTCTCATGTACGGACTAAACATGTGGATCTTTAAGGAAGCAATAGCACATCATATATGAATGAGAGGAAGGAGAAGGATCAGGTTTTTTTCAGTGATGCAGAATTTTTCAGTGATGCCTAACAAAAAACACTCCTGTATTTGGTTTTCAAACAGCACTTGATGTTGTATATATTTGACTCAAAGTACTGTTTTTGGCATGAAAGGAGAATTCTTAATACTAGTTTCTTAAAATAACTGACTTCAGTTTTCTCCTCAAGCTAAAACTACCTTTTCATGTTGACATTGTGTAAAGTCACTGTCATTTGATTTTTCGGTATCTTTTTTTTGTGACAACTGAATGTTAGGGCTCCAAAAGAGAGGCTGTTTACAATCATGTCAAATCTTGCATGTCAATAACTGGGTGCTGTATCCTGGGTAACTTTATAGCCTTGTTTCCTAATTGACATGCATCACTTTATGCAATGCCGCTACCTACTGGTGGTTTCCCGACTTTGCATTCCAGTAACTTTTGAGCTGTGATAAGTAATATAGCACTACTTTCCTAATTACTTTAAGGGGCCAGGATTTTAGGAAAAGTCTCCTTTTCTCTTCTGAAATACTTTCCTATGAGCACCTCTTGAAAATGTGTCTCAGGACTGTAACACTTCTACAAGATTTGTGTGAATGTTAGAATTGAGAAAAGACCCAAATAAGTGGCCCTTCCTTCCCTAGGGAACCTTGAAACTTACACTGTAGCTGTGTCCCTTCTGTTCAAGCACTGGCTGTTGGTGTGTACAGAACTGCACTAGGAACAGTACAGGCTTCCTGGTTTTTTCCTGCAGGCTGTACAGCATGATAGAGCTCTGAGGAAGAAGATTTAGGAGGCTGGGGAAAAACTGATGATACAGAAGTGGTATGAGGAACATAGAAGGATCTGGAAGATGGTGAGGCTGGAGGGAACTGTAAGGGAATGGGCTGTGGGAATCAGTAGACTATGAATTCTTAAACTATGCTGTGTTGTTGGTTGGTTTGGGTTTTTTTCCCCCCCCAATGCTAAAAGAATAAGTACATAAGCCTTATTAAGGCAGTTTCTAGTAAAACAGCATTTCTTTGTATGCAGCTGTATTTATACAGGATCAATGTGGCTTTGCTGCCTCGATAGCATTGGAATAACATTTAGCCAAAGTTTAGAATAAAAATAGGTGGGTTTAAATCAATACATGCAAGATGCTTTCAGAAAAGGCAAGACTAATTTACTTTATTTTGGTTTATCATGAGTGTAAGATGGACATTTTCATAAGATGGGTAAAGATTAGGTCATGACAATGATAAGATACAGAAATTCATTGATAGAAATTGAACTGGGGCTTTGAGCTTTTCATGGCTGACTTGAAGAGCTATGTTCGTATACCATGCAGGTGAAAGATTTCTGAATTCCCATTAGCCATCTTGAGCATATCTAGCCACTAGTGTCTTGACAGCTATGAGGTCTTTAAAAGGAGAGTGCAGATGAGGCACATATTTGGATTTAAATTGGAAAAAAAAGAAACCAAACCAATGGTGGATATATGTAGTCCTTTGGAGGAAGTCTTGCTTTAATATAGTATTCCCAGAAGAAATAAATGGCCTTTCCATTTCCCTTTTGGTTTATATAAGCCCATTTGTTTTCCTTTCCTTACTGAATCTTCTTTTTACTTTCTCTGCAGAAGGAATGGCTTTGTTTCATTTCTCTGTAGTCCAACTAATTGAATGTGTTAATTTCAGCTTTCCTTCTGCTTTTACAGTCTCTCATTTTAAAAATGCATGTCCTGGTAGCTTGTTTTGTAGCCCCTTCTTAATAAATGGGTTTGAATGGAAGAGACTTTTGGGATGGAGGGGAGTCAGTAATGCTCGTTTCAAGGAGCTGCAGTCTTCAGTGTGGTGTTGCTTAGCAACCCATCTTCCACTTTTGCCTTTGGTGAATAAAAGAGGAGGGTGAAGCTGTGGTTTCTATTGATTCATTCACTGAAACTGGAACTGTAAGCATCTTGTGGCTATAGCAACATAAACCAAGGTGTGTTTTCCTCTCCTCCCTTGCCCACCTTTCCCCTGCAGGTACAGAATGCCTAGAAGGTCTTCTAGAGGATATGTAAACATTTTTTGTAACAGTGTACTAAATAATGCTTCTGTTTTAATTCCCTACTGTTTTTTTCAGATTTGTACCAATACTAGAAAGATCGTCTAGAAAGTATCATTAGGTAAAATAACTAGTATAATTAGCTAAAATAGCTAAACTAGCAAGACTGTTAAAGAAAAACAGAGTAGTAATTTGCAGGGTTTCCCCCTGGTTTTGGACTAGGTTTGACTATTGCGAGTCACTTCTCAAATGTGGCTACAGCAGTTTTTAGACAGGCTCGTAGATCAGGCAACTCTTGTTTAATAACCGAAACCTTAGTCTAGTTACTCGTTAGATGAGTGAGTAGCTTTATAAATTATGATAGTTTAGACAGAGTTTATAGAAAATTTGTTGAAAATTTTCTGAACAAATTGTCTTTGAAAGTGGTCCAGGAGACGTTTCAGGGAAGTCTCGATAGTGGGGGTAGATCCTGGCTCTTGAGAAGTTGATCATAAAGAACTCATTAGTGTGTTCCCTATACAATGCTGAACAGGAAAAAATAGGAAAAGGAATTAAGGGAAAATGTTATTAGCAACTATTTCTCCATCAGCTTGTGACTATGCCACTTTTTAAAGTAACATCACTATTTTGTTGGTTTAAGCTCCTTACAACTGTGACTTCTGATTTCTGGCTTCATCTACTTAGTGGTTTACTTCTTGCTTCATCTTGCAATTAAATCAAACCCTTTTTCTTTTTCTTTTTCTTTTTTTTTTTAAACATTGACCCGCCTTAAAATGTTTAGAATTGGACTGTTACTGCAAAATTATGTGACAGGTGCTTGCTAAGAGAGGAGCTGAGTGAATGCTCTAAATCTTGTTCTGAAGTACTAGTTTTAGGTTGGTTTTTTTTTAAGGTGTCGGTATGCCTGTTAATGCAGGCCTTACTCTGGAAAACAGCAGCTTTTTAAATGTTCATACTAGAAATCTGCCTTACTTGAATTTTGTGCTGTGAAAAGCTGGATGTTGGCCATGCATGTCTCAGGTGACGTACTTGCTATGGTTGAGGCCTTGACTTTCAAAGGCATCAGGAATGATTTTTAACATGCTAGGAATACCAGCACCTATTAATTGGGATTAATTCTGATCTAAATCTTCATCAGGTGTTCCTGGGGAAGATGAGTTCACTCATAAATAGTGGTATTAACATTTCTGTTGCTGCTATAGAATCAGTATAACTCCTGGCAAGATACCATGTTTAGCTCGTGGAAGAAGTCAGTGTTGAATGCTGGACTGGGGCTGTAATAGTGCTACTCTTAAGTAACAGAAGATAAAAGGGAGACTTCATGCTCTATTAAAATGAGAAGCAAACTTTCTGCCTTTTTTTTTTTTTTTTTCCCCAAAATTAAACCGTACTTTTATAGAAAAGGGATTTTTCTCTCTCTCCCTCTGGGAAACTTGGCCCTGCAAAGGAAGGGAGCTCAGTGGGATATCCTTTCCCTCAGACTCTGATCTCACCTCTCAGGGATTTTGTGTTCCGTGTCCCAGCAACGGGAGCTGGGAGTGCTGGGTCAACCCCGTCTTACGCGACGTAACACTAACGTGACTGAAGAGAAAACCGCAGCCCCCTGCCGCGGTGCTCAAAATGCACTCTGTAACGGGGAGGCTGAGGCGCGCGGCGCGGGCCGGCCCCTGCTGCGGCGGGCATTATGCCATTACCTAAAAAGCACGTTTTCCTTCGGGAACGGAAGGCGAAGAGGGCGAGCGCGGCGTCCCGCTCCTGGCTCCCCTCCGCCGCAGCCCGGGCCGAGGGCCCCGCTCCCCCCTTGCCCCCCGG